TCGGGCAATTTGAAAGTAAAATCACAAACCAAACCAATTATATCGGTTTTAAATTTTTATAATCCAAGCCAACCCAATTTTATATCGATTTGGTTTTGATTTTTAATTGGATTGGATCAGTTTAGGTCAGATCAATCGGATTGGATCGGATATGAACACCCCTAGTGACTCAGAGCTTGATGAGTCTTGGTCGAATGCCACAGATTACACAGCAGGATTCGACGGAGATAGCAGAGGAGAAGAAACTGGAGATAACACCGGAGAGAATATTTCAGGCAGAGGAACATTCTCGAGCAAGGAGAGAGGAAGCAGGTTGGCTGTCACTTCAAACTCAGAAGTAAATTTTGAATTTGAAGGAAAGAGTACTGATGAGGATTGGTCAAAAAAGAAGGCTAGGCTCTCACATAGCATATTAGGTGAGGAAGAGTCCGTTGATGTGGTAGCAGATAGCTTTGAAATGGATTTGGAAGAGGATGACATAGAGGAGAGAGGTGATATTGAAATGTGTGTATCAGGAAGCAAGGTGAAGACTGTTTCAAATTCAAACCCTGCAGCAAGGGTGGGAAGTTATGGGCTGGCCACTCACACCAACAGTGATTCATTAGTTGGATATGGTACAAAAGGTAATTGGGCCGGTGAAGGAGAGTCAATAGAAAACTGGGTCGATGAAAGATTAAATACCAGTCCACTAAAGGGGAGTGAAGTGAGGCCCGACGGGGGAATTAAAAAGAAGATCTCACAGGAAAATACAGAAACAAAAGACACGAACACTCTCGAGAAATGCAGTTCCTGTAACAACAAGAGGGGTAGTATAGAAGGGAGTAGGGAAGAGGAGATGAGCACAACACAAAAAAAGGACAAAAAAAAAAAGAGAAAGAAAAGGAGCAAATCGTGCACTTTTGTTTACCAAAAATCAATCCTTCTTGGATTCATGAAGCAGAAGAAGAAAAGCAGGGGCAGATGCGGCGCGAGGCAAATGGAGGAAGAAGCAATGCCAGTGTTCTTGCCAAACACAAGCAACTCAATAGCGGGTGGTTCGATAGGAGATAACGGTATCTAGAATTGTAATAGATTGCTAAAGGAACTCCCCAACAAGCGGATTGTTGCTGATATATGGGAGTGTGCGAAGAAGATAGGGGCAGTGGCAGAGGAAGAAGAATCGATCATCAGGAAACTTGAGGAGTTGGAGACCAGAGATAGAACAGCAAAGGAGAAAGAAAGCTTAAAAGGCCCGAGCAAGGAACAGAAGGTGAGTGCTGTGATTAAATGAATATACTGTCATATAATATTAGAGGATTGGGGGTTGCAGGGAAGAAGAGAATTGTCAGAGAGTTAGTGAATAGAGAAGGTGTGGACTTCCTAGCAATTCAGGAAACCAAGAAGAGTGGAATAGATAGAAAATTCTGTAGTTTGTTGTGGGGGATAGAGGAGTTTGATTGGGTGGCGAAGGATTCAGTAGGATTGTCGGGAGGTATGGTCTGTGTATGGAATTCTAAAGCACTCAGAATGATGAAAGTTTGGGAGGGTGAAAACTTCATTAGCATACAAGGGAGGTGGGTAGCAGAAGATGTTTGTGTTAATATCATCAATATTTACTCTCCATGTCATTTAGCGGGTAAAAGAAGCTTATGGGGAGAATTAAAAAAATTAGTTCTGCAAACAAGTGGAGTATGGTGTCTTGTGGGTGACTTTCACACAATAAAGAATGTAGAGGAGAAAGTAGGAAGCAAAGCAGTAACTATTGAGATGGGGGAGTTTAATAATTTCATAATGGAATCAGATCTGATTGATACAGCATTAGTGGGAAGAAAATTCACATGGTACCAACCAAGTGGCAAGTTGATGAGTAGAATTGACAGGTTCTTACTGTCGGAAGAGTGGCTGAATAAGTGGGGGGAGGCATTTCAATAGGGTCTAACCAAAACTGTATCAGACCATTGTCCAATCCTTCTTAGATATTAGAAGGTGAATTGGGGGCCAAAACCATTCAGATTTTTTGATGCTTGGCTAGAGCAGAAGGGTGTCGGGAGGTGATAAGAGAAGCATGGAGAAAGGAAAATACTCATGGATGGGCCGGATTTCGAATTAAAGAAAAACTCAAGACCACCAAAGAAGCATTGAAGATATGGAGCAGAAACCTGGTACCAGAAATAGAAAGGAGAATGAAAGAAGCTATGATAGAGATCTCGTAGCTAGATGTGAAAGGAGAGACGGTTCAGCTATCTGAGGAAAAGATTGAGAGAAGAAAACAGGCATTCTTGATTTTGTGGGACAACATGAGATACAAAGAGAGTATGCTGCAGCAGAAATCCTGAAAAGCTTGGCTAGCAAATGGAGATGCAAACACGAAATTTTTCCACAATTGTGTGAAGGGGAGATGGAAGAGGAATGAAATGAATAGCATTCATGTAAAAGGAGTCTAGATTACAGAGGCTGATAAAATGAAAGAAGAAATTGCCACCTGTTTTGAAGAAACATTCATAGAGGAGCAGTGTGTGAGACCATCTGTAGGACTCCAATTCAAACAAATTGCCCTAGCAGATAATGATTATCTCATTGCACCTTTTACTGAAGAAGAAATCAAGACAGCGGTGTGGGACTGTGAAAGCTCAAAAGCACCGGGTCCGGATGGCTTCAATTTTAAATTCATCAAGAGTGAATGGGAGACAATCAGAGGCGATGTTACTGAATTTATTCATGAGTTCCAGAAGAATGGCAAAATTGTGAAAAGTCTCAATACGTCATTCATAGTTCTTGTGCCAAAAGTAGAGAATCCACAGAAAATAGAAGAGTATAGACCAATTTCATTGATAGGGGGTATATACAAAATCCTTGCAAAGTTACTTGCTAACCGGCTTAAGAAGGTGTTGGCGAGAATAGTTGGTGAACAGCAAATGGCATTTTTAAGCAGTCGGCAATTAATGGATGGGGTTGTAATAGCAAATAAGGTCATTGATGAAGTAAAAAAGAAGAGGAAGGAAGTGTTTTTGTTTAAGATTGACTTTGAAAAAGCTTACGACAAGGTCAGCTGGAGATTTCTGGATTTCATGATGCAAAAGATGGGTTTTTCAAATAGTTGGAGGAAATGGATTATGGAGTGCCTAAGGTCAAGTATGGTGTTGGTTTTGGTCAATGGCAGCCCTACCAGACAATTCTCTATGTCCAGAGGTCTTCGACAAGGGGATCCACTATGTCCATTCTTATTTTTGATTATTGCAGAAGGGATTAATGGGCTGGTTTTGAAGGCTGTGGAGAAAGGTTTACTTGAAGGAGTTGAGGTGAGAGGTAAGCGCTTCAAGATCACACATCTCCAATATGCAGATGACACTTTGCTGTTTGGCATAGCTACTAAGGAAAATGTATGGGCTATGAAGAGCATCTTGAGGATATTCGAGCTGGTATCGGGGCTAAAGATAAACTTTAACAAAAGTCAGCTCATTGGCATTGGAGTAAAGGAAGAGTGGTTAGAAAAAATGGCATGGATTTTGTGTTGCAAAAAAGGGTACTTGCCTTTTAAGTATTTGGGGATACCCATTGGGGGGAGGAGTGGGAAGCTTTCATTCTGGAAACCAGTGCTGGAAGGGGTGTCTAGAAAACTATCCACATGGAAAGGGAGGTACTTATCTCTAGGAGGAAGGATCACTCTCATTAACTCAGTGCTGTCCAGTCTACCCGTGTTTTGGATGTCCGTGTACATGATCCCGAAAGGTACGATTCTATTTCTTGATAAAATTCGTAGGAGATTTTTATGGGGAGGAGTTGAGGGAGGAAAGAAAATAAATTGGGTTAGATGGGACAAGGTTTGTGGGGACAAAGAGCAAGGGGGGTTAGGTGTGAAGGATTTAAGAAAGTTTAATCTAGCTTTGCTAGGGAAGTGATGGGGGAGATTGGTTAATGAGGAAGATGGATTATGGAAAGAAGTAATATTGCAGAAATATGGTAGGGTCGGGGAACCTAGATTCAATTGGTTGAGAGAGGGTTATGGTTTTGGGTCTAGATGGTGGAGGGATATTTGTAGGTTGAATGTCATAGACCAAGAGAATGATGGTTGGTTAGCAAAGGGGCTGAATATTAAAATAGGAGAAGGGGATAGTGTAAAATTCTGGTGGGACAAATGGTGTGGGAGAGGAATATTGGCTAACAAATATCCAAGACTTTACTTAATATCTGTAGGTAAAGACAATACAGTTTCACAGATGGGCTGGTGGCTCAATGGTAGCTGGATATGGAAACTGCAGTGGAGGAGAAGGCTATATAGCTGGGAAGTCCAAGAAGAAACAGAAATTTTGAAGGAAATCCAGGAAACAACAAGCACGAAAGGAAAAACTGATGTAAGAGAGTGGATACATAGTAACAACGGGGTATACATAACAAGATCTGCGTACAAGGCACTCACATTGGAGCTAGAGAGGGAACTACTAGGAGTGACCCTTCAAAAAGTTTGGAATGCACTGGTGCCAAGTAAGGTTTCAGCATTTTCATGGCAACTTCTGCAGGAAAAAACCCCTACAAAGGCAAATCTTTTCAAAAGAGGTATAATTCAAAACATGGAGGATTGCAAATGTGAACTCTGTGGACACCAACTGGAGGAAACCAGCCATTTATTCACGCAATGCAAAGTGGCATATGATCTGTGGAATGCCTGCTTCAGGTGGTGGGGAATTAGAACAGCGCTGGACAGAGATGGGTGCAAGGTATTCCAACAGCATCCTTCGGCTCTCAAAGTGGCAGGAATAAAAGAGGGCTGGAGATGCATCTGGTTTGTAGTTGTGTGGACATTGCGGTTGGCAAGAAACGACAGCATATTTAACCGAAAAGAAGCGGACAACTGCAAGTTGCTTGAACTGGCTCAACTAAGGTCCTTTAGCTGGATGAATGCAGAAAGAAAGGATGTCTTTTTTCATTGTCCGACTAGATCCAGGACCCGGTATCCTGCTTAAGAGGGCTGCAGCAAAAAATGGCAAAACAGGGTGACAATACCAGGATAAGCAGCGGATTTCTTAGAAAGGGGCGCTCGATTAATTCATGTGTTTTTTTTTTTTTTTGGGGAATTAGTTGCTGAATAAGCACATATTTCCCTGTAAAAGGTTTGGCGTACACCCAATACTCCTATAATGGAAATTGTCTTTCCTTTTCAAAAAAAAAAAAAAAAAGTTATAATTCTAGGTCTCCAAAATACTCCACAGGCACATACTACGCAGATGCATTAGAAGAGCAGCCTAAAAGTTCCGTATCCCTTTGTTGATGAAATCGCATCTCCCCCCTCCATTTCTTCTCTCCAAGACAAAGTCTTCAAAGTTGATCGGGACGCTCGCCAGAGAATCAATGGAATTGACTTCGTCGTGCGAGACGAGTTAAAAAAAAAAAGGGCACTCAAGCTTGAAACCTACTGGCTTGGCATGCCCTCAACAATAATCGATTAGGCTTCTTACCGCTTTGGGCTTTGAGACTGGCTTGAGTTGAACTTTATTACTTACCGTAAAGATAGGCCTTTTCAAAGAGATGACGTGAATAAACACTTACCCACTTAATTTTGTTCATATGCTTAAGCTTAAAAAAATTCTTACCAGTACTATACTCAAGAAAATTCAGGGATTCTAAATAAATCATATTCCAGACAATTACCGCAATCCAGACATTCAGAGCAAACCAAGCATACAGAACTGCCACTGATTTAGCCACCTACCTTTTAACCACTCAACTGCATCTTCATGTTTGATAGCTGGAGAACTCAACTCGTAGACCTCGTTCATCAGGAAATCAGGTAAAGTACTGGCGGTAAC